CTGAGGGAAGTGGGGAAAGCTGTACTGCAGGCTGCGGGGAGACTTGAGCAGGCGGAGGGGCTTGAGCAATTAGAGGGGCTGAAATCTGAAGGTTACGAACCACATGGAGCAATTCGTCAAGGGTATTGGTGAGGTGAACTAGTTGTTGGGCATGAGAGCCCAATAGCTGACCCTGAGCCGAAACAGCAGCAAGGAGATTCAACGGGTCTTCTGGATTCTGGGTGGGCGAAGTATTCTGTAATGGAGACTCTTCAGACAGATTAGAATCCATGAAGGCCGTTTACTCAAGCACACAAAAACCAATAACAAAGTCAAAAACAGTCCAGAAGTCAAAAAACCAGAAAAGATCACAAAAACAGCAGAGGTACCAAAGGGAGATCAAAAGCAGAGTCCAAGAGTTCAGAAAAGGGTCTAAATAATCCAATGACGGCAGTCCTAGTAGAAACAAGGCTTGGTATGCAGATGAGACTGGCAATACTTCGCAGTGAGCCAGTGTACTGAGGATCCTTATATAGGAAGGATAACAAGCTGCAGGTGAGAAGGGTCAGGGTTGAACTGGGAGGCACGTCAGTATTCAGGTGATGCTGACCTCTGGTGGCGAGTGTGGTTGTCACACCTGACAGGTGCTTTGAGCTGTATGCTGCCAGGTTTGTGGTGGGTGGTGTGTGCATGGCTGTTAGCCTGTTAGCAGTTAGCCACTCATTTGTGTAGTTTTCTTGGTTATTTCCTGGTTCTGATTTAGCGGTACAACAGTTGGAAACAGAGACTGTAACTCAAGTCTGGACCAGCGCAAAATGGCCCAGTACGGCCCTGAGAACTATTTGGCTCAACAGTGGAAAAGCGGCCAATGTGTAGTTTGGTCATCTTAGGCAGACAGTTATTTGTGTACTTTGACATAGACGAGGTACACAAATAATTAAGAGAAAATCACACATAAGCGAGAGATGTAGCACAGCTGCTGCTGTCTCTAGCACTGCCAGAAGAACTAGTTTAAAGAACACTAGAAGAACTAGTTTACTTGTGTTTAATAATGACTGTTGACACAAGAAACAGCAAAACTAGTTGTACTGCTACTGCTTTTGATGCTCATTTGAAATTTGATGCTATTGAATTGAACACATACATGAACACATACACACAGACATGCACATGTAGGAGGAGAACAGAGTGAAGGGACACAGCACCTAATACAAATGTGTGGCGGTTGAACAGTGTTAAGTGTGAAATGGGTTATTTTATATGTTATTTTTTCCACAAGCGCCTGACTAGTTCTGTTGCGTTAAAGAGTGGAAGGATGGACAAAAACACCTGTGGATGTTTTCAGATCTGAAGCAGCTTTTTTTCCTCTCTCTCAAAGATGAAAGCTTTAAGTGCTGTTTATCTGATGGGGGCAGTTTTGGTATCTACCAGGTCTTGGTTGTTAGATGTCCCATTTTCTCTGTACTTTTCTCACGTATTTTCCTTTGACTTTCTCTGCATCTCAGCCACCAGGATCAAACGTGAGGCAAATTAAAGTGGCCTCACATCGGGACCAGAGGCAGTGCCCAGGAAATGGGGCTCGGGCCTTGTGAGCCGTCCACCACTCCCCCACGGATTTCATCCTATCCCCGCTGTATTCACAGGGTTTCATCTGGGCTTGATGTTCGGGCCCCACCATCCTGCCGGCTCTTGCGACCTTCATCAGGGCCTAGGGGACGGGCACATGCCACATACCCCATCACTCAACTCAGGCCGGGGACTTTAGTGAACATCCCCTCCTGGGGAATGGCCAAGTGCAGGGCAGAAGCAGGAGAACAAACCTGCGGTCTGGGTATGGACTCAGTCACAAGACAGGACAATTGGAGGCTACTGGCATGTCAGGGGAGGCTATGTGCATACCGGCCGCAGACACAGCCAGGGTGCTCTGACATCTTCTTGAGTAAGTGGGGCCTCAGCAACGGGTTCGTGAGCAGGGAGGGGAGGTGATAGGAGACAAACTCTGAGCCCTCTTGGAGCAGGGCTGTGAGGAGAGAGCTCCAGGCTTCCTCAGAGCTGGGATGGAAGGGAGAAGGAGAGCTCCGAACATCCTTGGAGTGGGAATGGAAGGGGAAGGAGGGGGAACCCCAGGACTTTAGCCATTGTACACGCACATAAGAGAGAAATTTAGTTGCTTGTGCAAACGTAATGTCTGTTTAAAGGGGAACAGATTGTCAGTGACTCCTTTGGAAAGCTATTGTTGGGAGGACACAGCTGTAACTGGTTGGTTTTGAGCTGGTTGTGGTCTGTTCAACACATTTTCGTTTACTTTTTAAAACTTTGTCATAAACTTAAAGGATTCCAAGCCACAAATGAAAATGCTTGTGGCTAAACTCCTCTAACATTAGCACTGCTTCAAATTCAGTGAAACACCTTGAGAGAGTCTGTTTGATCCAGAATGTTGATGAGGAAATCAGTGTGCTGCCCCCTGGTGCTTTCTTCAAGTCAGTGCAATTTGGGAGCAAAAATGTTCCTGAACTGTGCACAACCAAGACAAAACAGCAGTAACAAGTTACTGACATTGGAAGTCATTATAAATAGTACGTATATACAGTGGCCCCAGAAAATATTTTTAATTTATGCCATACTTAAATCATTATGTTCACTGTGTTAGGAAACATTGTCAAACCAACCCAACTGGAAGAGGAATCCACTACTGTCATTTTCTTCTTGGTAAAGTATTTAGCTGGTGAGTTTCAGACGGCTTTGGGTTGAGCAGTTTCTTTGCAGAACATTTGCAGGTTTGCATTGCGAGTGTGCTTGTACTCTTCTGAGTTCATGATTCATCAATGAACACAAGCTCAGTGACAGCAATGTAAGAATAACACCTCTAGACTTTGAGAATTCCACCTGTCAAAATGGACTGAACTAAAGAAGAAGTGCGATAGGCCTCATGTGAATCCCCCCTAAAATTATCATTAGGCAGTCTCAAGAACTTCATTAAAGTTTACTGGTTGTGGCGATGGTGAAGCTCTTTATTTTCAATTTTGGTTCAGCAGCAGAGAAAGAGAGAGAGGGACAGAGAGAATATTACTTATTAATGAGGTTTATTCTTGAACTATGAGAACTCTAATTATTTAATTAAATAACATTTTTCAAAAAGGTCAATAAAAAGTAAAGCAAATGGATTTGATTTAAATTGGTTTAGTGCCCAAACAAGTGTGGTCACTGTGTGTAGTTAGTAAAACTCACCTTATGAAATAAAGAAAATACATGTCCACTTTTTAAAGTAAACCTAGCCATTCTAGCTAGCTAACTCAGAAACACTGGTGCAAATTCTGAGGCAGCTGTTCAAGTGAGCAATGTACAAAAAGGGGTCATGCTTACTACACTCACAGCTGTGCTGTTGAAATTCAAAATATTGTTAGCAGTGTAGTTAAACATAGTGCCATGATCCTAGAGCAGAGGTGCCCAATCCAGGTCCTAGAGATCTTCCACCCTTCAGAGCTTAGCCCCAAACTAGAGGTGGATGATTGACAAAAATATAGTGATACTTGAAGATTTTCATGATACACAATATCACAATACTTATTTTTTCAGACATCAAGTGGAACAGAGAAAAAAAATTGTAGTACTACATTTTAAAAATACTAGCAACATTTTTATTCAATGTTTGTTGTACTGTGTTGCTTTAAATCCAGTTAAACAGGACTAATTTTACTCTCCTTATAGCTAATAACACAGTTGGTCAGTGTTCTACAAGTACTGACTATATCCATGATAAAATATAGCATATTGTATTTTGCTGTGGCATAATTTATCCCAATAGTGATATCATTATATTGTCCAGCTTTTCTCCCACCCTAATTAAGCACACCTGATTCAGGTGATGAAGGCCTTGGATGCATCTGAATATTAGAGCCAAGTGTGCTGAATCTGAACCCTCCAGGGTGGTAGATCACCCGGAACAGGATTGGGCACCACCATCCTAGAGGCCTGTACATTTTACAACAATGCAGTCAGTGCTGTAGCATAAACTCTTAACAAACAAAACAGCAGAAGAAAATAATAAGATTAGTAGTAACTCTCTGTACACATTTGTGTTTCTTCTGTCCTGTGATGTGTTTGTGAGTGAACCACAGTATCAGGGAGGGTCTCAAGACAAGAATTGTCTTTTAAACCATATGTTATGATACAGGGTGACTGAAAAAGATTCATCCGATTTCAAAGCGCCATATTTTTTCAACTATGAGGGGCCTAGGAACCAATCACATACCAATTGTAAGGGGGGGTGATAGAGTTTCTGACTGTCAGTGGAAGATGGAGACCCCTGAGCAGAAAGCGTTCTGCGTTCTCCACTTCAATAAGAGTGAATCCGTCATAACTGTGCAGTGTGATTTTCATGGGCAGTGAAGCTCCAACAGCTCAGAGCGTTCGTCGTTGGTTCCACAACACTGGATGATCTCCGAAATCGCACTGAAAGAGCCGTGAGTGCAGCAACACCCGACATGCTCAATCCAGTATGGGATGAGTTTGACTATGGCGTTGATGTTGTCTGTACAGCTGGAGGAGGTTCATATTGAGACCTTATACAATTACATAATAAAGTTTATGCTCATTTAAACCATTTACAGTTTACTGCATTGTTCTGTAATGATTTACAAGTGAAATAAATCATTTTGAAATCAGATGAATCTTTTTGAATCTGTCTGTATTATCAACTTTTACCTGTTTTTTTTGTTTTTTCCCCCCAAATGACAAAAATGAACATAACTGAACAGGAACAGATTCTGCATCAGAAGATTTGAGGAATTCCAAAATACTTTATTTTTAAAAGACAAATTAGAACGACTTAAAATATATAAACTTATAAGAATAATACAGCTACACATATTATAAAGCATTATTTAATGCCAAAACCCTAAATCTTTAAACTTTTAAATGCAGATTAGTCTTGATGTGAACATTACAGTGAAAACTCTATTCCTGCATTTTTGTTGACTGGATTTGTTATATATTGTCGTGTAGCCCAGTGTTTGTAAAGAATTGGTTGGATATTACAGTTACAGTTACTTTCAGTAATCCTAACCAATCAGCACTCAGAAGTAAGAATGCCAGTCAATCAGTGCTATGTCGCATTAACTCCAATCAGCACTCAGTAGCAGTAATGCTGCCCGATCAGTGGTCAGTAGCAGTATTGCTGACCAATCAGCGCTCAGTAGCAGTAATGCTAACTAATCAGCGCTCAGTAGCAGTAATGCCAACCGATCAGCACACAGTAGCAGTAATGCCAACCAATCAGTGCTCAATAGCCGTAATTCCAGTGTCCTGCCCAAACTGTTTTTGATACTGGTTTCTTTGATGTTTTTAATGGAATACTTCATTTTACTTTCCAAAATTAAAGACAGTTCTGTCATGAATGGCTCGAAGCATGTTTTTAATTTTTAGCCGTTTAGCTCTGTTCACACCCCTTCATTGAGGATTCGCTCATGAGTGCCCCCTAGCGTTCAGCAGTCATTGTTTTGATATAATGGGAGAAATAGGAAGCATCCTGGCTCACCTGAAAGTGGCAGTGAACATAGGTCCAAAAACAAGTACATTCATACGTCACAGTAGCTCACTTCAAACCTGAGTTAAATGATGAATGATGACTGATGACTGACCATTGATTATTTTTATCCGTTTAAAATAAGTTTGGATTAAAGTGACACTGGATAAGTAAATTGTTTTTAACATACTAATCCATGTTTCCATAAATTTGTTAATCCTCATAGTCGTCCTCAGCCATTTTCTATGTATCCATATCTATGTCAACGTAGTCCTCATCGGAGACATCTGAATCCTCTCTCTGGTGGACAGTGACTTCTACATTTTCATAATCATCGTCGTCATCATCATCATCATCATCATCATCGTCATCATACCTCTCGTTCCCTGTGTAGGTAATCCCACATGAGGCTTTGGCACCTACAGAATGGTGAAAATACACTTACTGAAAAGTGAAAAATGACCTTCTGATCAAATATTACTGCAGCAAGTTTTTTTCTAAATATAGTTTAAATGTTATGTACATTCAAGAAACAAAAAGCTTAATTTTGAGTGCTTTAGGGTGTTAAAGAGCTCCTTTGTTCAGTAGTTTATGTTACTACCCAAGGAATCAGTGTCTCAGCATCTGTGCCACACTTGAGTTGTCAGTGCCCCAACGTTCCTGCTATCAGGGACCTGGCCAGTGTCTGAATTTGTATTCCCTAAGTACTGATTCACTACATACATGACTAGTGTATGAATCGAAACACAGCCTTAGTTTCTCTTTCTTTTAGGATGATATTTAATTTCCTACACTGTCCTACACAATTTACATAAATTTGTTCACCTGCATAGCCATTGCCCAGAGCCGTATTCTCCATCTCATCCTCTATATTGACGTAGTCCTCACTAGAATCATCTGAGTCTTCTTTCTGGTAAAATATTGTATCTGCATTTTCATAATCTTCATCATCATCATCAAAATCATCATCCATCTCATTCTTCCCTCCGGTAATATCGTATGTGTTTTTGGTACCTATAGAAGAAGAATTGTGTGAGAGAATGAACTTTTTGCAAAATTAAAAATTTAATTTGTTAATGAGGTTACATGGCAGCAAATTTATCTACACCAAAAATTGGTTATTTGAGTACCAGTCATCAACAACAAAGAGCCTCAATTTAGTTTTAAAAACATTGTTTCATCAACATAATGAAAATACGGTTCAGAACAGAAAGTACTCACAAAGTCTGTGATCCATCTTCATAGACATCTGATATTTTTGTTCTTTACATCTCTTCATGAAGAAAATGATGATTGGCACTAATATGAGTAACAGTCCTGCTGCCACTCCAGAACCGATGAATGGAGCCAGTGATGCTGTGAGAGAAATCACCATCAAGATTTTCTTTAAACAGGGTAAATGAGCAAACTAAGACTGGTGCATGTTACTGTACCTTTCACAGTGACAGCCAAGAGTTCAGTGGTAGGAGAGTTAAAGGTGCGTGAAGACACAGTTAATTCATAAACACAGCTGTAGTTTCCCTGGTGGACAAAATCTGCCTCAGGAAAGAAGAAGGTGGTTGAGTGGTCAACAGCTGACTGAGTGCTGCTGATACTGGACCCACTTAACTCCAAGTGGAAGGAGCCTCCTGGGTACTGTGGTTTGGTGGAGCAGATGATGGAGAAGCTGTGGCCCCTGGTCACCTCTGGTCCCTGAGGCCCCCCGTGGAACCTTCCATCAGGATCACTAAAGGAGATATTGGGCTGCAGCAAGTTCACTGGAAAACAAAAAAAAAATCTTTTAAAACCTGTAAAATAGCAGACAGGCTTGACTACAAAAACTCCAAGCATAATGTTCAGCACAACAAAGCAACAGAACTACTTTATGGAAAAATCACTGTTTGTCCTGAGCAAAGCCCACTTTTGGAAAATCTGAAGTTTCCGCTGTTGAGGTACATTCCAATTGACCTAATAGTTCCCCGTCAAGTGAATTACAGTGGGTATTCATATATTTAAGGTAGATTCCATACCAGGTGGGAATATGAAAGGGAATTTAAAACTGCATAGGGAGTAATGAATAATAGTATTGTCACGACATAATTTGGTTTTGCCTCTTAATTTTTTTCAAAGGGGCCCACCAAACGTGCTTATTAATGACAACTACAAAATTTTCTTTTTGTGTAAAATATACACAGATCAGGCATAACATTATGACCACCTCCCTGTTTCTACACTCATTGTCCATTTTATCAGCTCGACTTACTATATAGGTGCACTTTGTAGTTCTACAGTTACAGACTGTAGTCCATCTGTTTCTCTGCATACTTTGTTAGCCCCCTTTTACCCTGTTCTTCAGTGGTCAGGATCCCCATGGATAGTCAGAGAGCAGGTATTATTTGGGTGGTGGATCATTCTCAGCACTGCAGTAACACTGACGTGGTGGTGGTGTGTTAGTGTGTGTTGTGCTGGTCTGAGTGGATCAGACACAGCAGTGTTCCTGGAGTTTTTAAACACCTCAGTGTCACTGCTGGACTGAGAATAGTCCACCAACCAAAAATATCCAGCCAACAGCGTCCTGTGGGCAGCGTCCTGTGACCACTGATGAAGGACTAGAGGATGACCAACACAAACTGTGCAGCAGCAGATGAGCTATCGTCTCTGACTTTACATCTACAGGGTGGACTGACAAGGTAGGAGTGTCTAATAGAGTGGACAGTGAGTGGACACAGTGTTTAAAAACTCCAGCAGCACTGCTGTGTCTGATCCACTCGTACCAGCACAACACACACTAACAAAGTATGCAGAGAAACAGATGGACTACAGTTTGTAATTGTAGAACTACAAAGTGCACCTATATAGTAAGTGGAGCTGATAAATTATGCCTGACTGGTGTACAGTAATGAATTAAAAGCCATTTGTCATTTTCGTAATTTGCTTTGCAAGGAACTGCCGCTACAATAATACTAATGTCCTCTAAAGCTGAAGGATTTTGAATGGTCACCATTTTGTTGATATTGGATCCATAACACCCAAATGCAAAAGCAATCAGGGAATTATTAAAAGATATTTCACTGTTTTTTGAAGATACGTGCATTGCAGAAGTATAACATGCTTTTTGGACTTGAAAGCAGAGTCAGCACAATTTATTTCCTCTTCCATATTTAATATTTTCTGAACCACCATGTTTTTTTTTTGTTTTTTGTTTTTTTTCAATGACTAAACACTAAAAGGACACATCAAAACAGATGCAATGTATCAGCCAAGCTTTCATTCAAAATGTTGTACAGAATTTGTCTTACCAACAACAGAGAAATGAACAGAGCTGCTCTGTGGAGAACTGAAATCACGACTGGACACTCTGGTCTGGTACTGGCAGTAGTAAGACCCCTCATGAACAAAGTCCACTTTTAGTAAACTGAAGGTGACGGAGGTTCCACTCTTGGTCTCTCTAAATGACCCAGAGTTCTGTATCAGAGTGAAGGATCCACCTGTGAACCGGGTTTTTACAGAGCAGGTGATGTCAACCTTCCCTCCCCATGTGACCTCCTTGGTGGGGTGGAGAGAGATGCGTGGAGTGGGTAAAATGACTGGAAAGGAAATGTTTTACCATGAGAATTTTTGCAGTTCACTTAAATGGTTTACATTCATTACTTTCTTAGCAAAGCAGATGCCCTTTGCAAATGTGTTACACAGAAAACAGATGCTCATTGACTGTGTAAACCATGATGCAAACACATAGTGACAGCTACTCTCTCTTGGAATAACAAAGTGCACAATTGTTAATTGCTGACTGTAAGCATGGATAAAGGAGACTGAAGACAAGTTCTTATCAGATTCAGGAATACGAGGTAAGACTCTCACTTAGATTGTAAAAAAATGAGGGAACAATGTGTTTGTATCATTTAACATATGGGTGTTACTGCAACTACAGGCACTTTTAGGTCCCATGCAGTTTTCTGCATGAAGCGTATAAACTATTTCTTAATTTATTTTTAAAAATTTACCACGGTAAAACCATTTTCTTTTACCTTTATGTCTGGTAATTTTGAAGCTTAATCTTTATCAAATAAAAGCACAAGTGCGTAGTTCAGTAAACATACTATGATGTGGATTGAGTATGACATCATCTTTTATTTGGCCTGTAATTAATGTAGGTGATGTACAAGAGCTGAGACATGATTTTAGTCAAGTGTATTTCTAGAGTCCTGAAGCTGTTTGTGGACTATTTGTTTGAAGCTACTAATCACTGTGCATCAGTATTGTCCTTCAAAGCTAATGTAACACGTCATGCTGTTATGCCATTTATACATAGTGAAAACAGCATTTTGCATTTGGGACTCTGAACTTACCTTGACCAGTGTTGCTTAATAAGAGGTTGGCAAAAAACTACTAATATATCTCTTAATAAAACAAATATGTTGATAAAACAAAAGAAATTGTTGTTGACTCCAGGTGAAACAGCAGTGATCACTGTCCACTGTACACCAATGGTTCAGCTGTGGAGAGAGTTTAAAGCTCCAGGTTCCTTTGTGTGAACATCACCAACTACCTCATCTGGACTCTCAACCCCACCCACCTATTCAAAAACACCCAGCGACGACTTCACTTCCTGTAGAGGATGAAAAGAGCAAACCTCCACCCTTCCATCCTTAACATATTCTACAGGGGGACGATAGAGAGTGGCTTATATGGGGAACTGCACTGCTGATATCACTGGGGCTCTACCCAGCATCGACACATCCTGCCCCATCCACAAGGTCACCAGCACTGTGGACTCCTGACCTTTTTGGTGTCTGACGTTCCACCACCTCCAGACTCTGCAACAGCTTCTTCCCTGAGGCAGTCAGACTTACTGAATGCACTGATACCCCTCCTAACATCCACCTGGACTAATTTAGACTTTTTCCATCATCCACCATTGACTGATAACATATGCCTTTATCAGCATTGTACACTGAAACACACATCCCTAAACCATCACTGCACACCTGTGCTTTAAATTCTTTAATTCATTAAATGCTGCTGTGGGACCTCAATCTTTCTGTACATTGTACAGTTGACAATGTTTCCACTAGTTGGCATCATGTGTATTTGCCATGTATATTTATTGTTCTCTGTTTTTATTGTCCTGTATGATTAGTGTTTGTGCATTTTTTGTATATTCTGCACTCAGGTCACATTGTTGTGTACCTGCACTCTACATAGTCTTGTGTAATATGCTGCTGTTGTATCATGGAGCTTGAAAGAACGACATTTTCTTCCAAATGTATGCAAGTCATATTGAGGAATGACAGTAAAGACCACTTGTCTGCAAATGACCAAGCAAAGTGACCACAAACTTGAAACTTATTGCACCGTTCGCTATAAAGGTTACATTTGCCAGTTTTAATCAAAGTTAAATAAAGAAGCCTTTCACAGATAACTCCTACTGAAAGAATAATTTATAAACTTTCATGTATGATTACGTCAGTTGTCATGACAGGCTTATGTAGGCATCATGTATCCTAGTGAATGGTTCATTCCAATCGGGAGGCAGCTGTCTAAAATGTCAGTGTTTTAGGGCAGCATTTGCGATGAAGACTGTCCCTTTGGGAGCCTTTTTTAAGTGCCTTATTTTGACCAAATCTCAAGGCAGCATCGCATGTACCCGTCTCAGTGAAGACAATCCCACAATACTGTTCACCAGCAGAGTTCTATCGCTTCGGTTTGAAAAACAAGGCGGACGAAGCAGCCGCTTTCTGCCGACTGAGGAGTTTACAAATGTAAGTTATTTCTTGACTTGTATCTTTACTGTTTTGAATGATTGTTGTATTTGTGGAAAGTATTTGACATATTTGTGTTTATAGATCTCTGTGGTGAAGTTTTGGCAGTCAGCTTGTCTAACACAACCTGACAGGCTGCATATGTAACTCATAAGGTGAAGCTAACGTTTGTTAGCTTGGGTAGCAGGCTAGCTGTGTAAATGTGCTGGCTCTTCAAAATGAGAGAGTTCAGTTTAAAATACTGGCTGTTCACTGTTTAGTAGCAATTTTTGTATGTACATAGTTATCAATATAATTCCATACTCAAGGATTTTTTTCTGTCCTCAGGAAACTAACGTTACAGAAGCAGAGAGGCACTGTCTGAGGGACAGAGGAAGAAATGCTGTTACGGGAAGAAAACTACACTGAGCAGCTGAAAGCAGCCCACTTGCCAAGCGTATTTGGGGAAAGTACTGCGGAATCAGTGCTATAGACTGACCTTCTCCCTGGACAGTGAAAAATACTTTAACTTACTGGATGATGTAGAAGTTCCGAAATAAAATGTTTTTGAAAATAAATACCACAAATGCTTATTTTTGCTGCTCTTCTTGTCTTGTATTACTGCGCTTACCACAGTCACAACAGTGTTAGGTGAATGTTGATGGCTAGATTTCAGACTAGGAGCTCTAAATCAGATGAGAATGCATAAAATAAAATGCATATTAGCAGCTTAACAGATTGTGTGCTGTCCTTTTTTCTGAGTGCATTTTATACAAAATTATGCGTAGTTTTTATCATTTGTGTGTTAGAAATAAAGCAGGTCCATTAAGGTGGATGAGGACAGTGAATGAATTGAAATGATTTACAAACTAGTAGTCACGATTATCTGTATTTATCTGGGGCGCCGAGACGAGTATATAACGACAGATACGAGTCCTTAAAGCAGCCTGTTCTTCATACACAAATTTCCACAGCACTGTTAATGCAGGAGAACAGCTGCTGCAGGTTTGGGAGCCTTATTCATTGAGGTGAGTGTAAGTTAACCAGCAACTGCAAGTAAACAGGTTAAACATGTATAGTGCATTGAAAGTTATGACGTATGATGGCTCTGAAGCACTGTCCTCAATGCGATGCCTGCTAAGGTTCTTTTTCGGTTAAAATGAAGAGAGAGAGCTGCCTTTGAAGGCAGTGACTAGTTAGGCAGCAGCCTCCCGAAAGAAACGCACTAGAATGGTACCCTACAGTAAAGTGTATACAGACATTTATGTTGAATATATTTTTAATAATATGCTTTTTAAAACTGTCTGGATAAAATTCTTCAAACTGGGATAAAGTTTGCAGAATTCAAATTTCAAATTTACACCATTACTATTGCTTTAAAATGTGCTTCTTATTAGGTCATTATCTGTGCACTCACCTACAGTGATATCAATAGCGCTGCTTCTGGAGGATGTGCTGGAGCTACTTCCCTGGTATGAATAGTCACAGCTGTACTGACCACGATGTGAGGAATCCACAGTCAAATCAAATGTTGTTGAAGATTCAGCTGATTGAGTTTTTATTGATTCCCCATTTCTGTACAAATGGAAGTTTACAGAGATGCACACTGGGTTGGTTAAGGCACATCTGAACTGAACAGCCTCTCCAGGCAAGACAGCAGAGTGTGATGAGGTCAGGGTGAGTGAGGGACTCTGGTCATCTGTTAAAGAAATATGATCAGTAATGCTGTAAATGCGTTTAAACAGTTAACTACTGTAGAAACTACTACTTACCTAAGCACACAACTCCAGCATCTTCATTATGTCCACAATCCTCCATTCCAAATCCTCTGTGTGAACACTGAGTTAAGTACCTCTCAGTTCCTTTACATCCAACATCATCCAGCCATATTGGGTCACTTCCCTGACCAAATTGGGCACTCTGAGGGGCACTGAATGCTCTGCCACATCCCATCTGTCTGCACACCACCTCCGCATCCTTCATGTCCCAGCTATCATCACACACTGTTCCCCACTGGCGATTGTGCTGGATCTCCACTCTACCACAACAGCGACCCTTACCATTCACCAGCCTGATCTCATTACGGCCTGATTTATCATATGGAAAAAAAATCTATTTGAGTCTCTAAACGTTGTCAGTGCCACTTAGATGTGGATGTAAAATTCAGCATGCATTCTTAGTCATAAGAAGGCCAGAAACAATTCAGTATTTAATGTTCTATAGTTTCATAATACATAGCTTAATATAAAAAGTCATTTTAACCTTATTAAGCTGGGGGTTTTGTAGCTTGCTTTACAGTTAAACAATTAGACATTCTTTACTGGTCGAAGGAAGTGGTTGTTTATAAACACGTCTGAACAAGCATGTAGCTTAAGCATGTAAAACTACAGTTCTGATGTACCATGTAATGCCAGAGAATAAATGACTATTGTGAGTTTTACAGCTGCATAATGTAATACATTGTGTAACTATGTAATGATATATGTGATTACATTTTGTCGTACAGCAAAGTCTCCAAGGCAGACAATACTGGGAAAATAAACTGTCTTCCCTCTGGTTACCACCAGAGTAGCCCAGTGTTGACAGTTACATTTTCCCATGTCCTCCAGGCTTTGCATTGACCACTACATGTTCAGAAAATTAGAGTAGTAGTGAGTGGTACGGTCAAAATCTACATCGCAGTATAATGAATGTTTCTGGTTTGGTTTAGGGTTGAGTGGTATAACAGTAAGGTATCCTGCAGTATTTAAAAATTATGACGATATTTCAAAATTATGATGTGTCAAATTTATATTCGCTTCTGAACGGCCAAATAAACACATTCCACCTATTTATATTTTAGATTAGTCTGATTGATTGTGTGGGAAAAATTTAGACCCAGGAATTTTACATTTTTCATTTTTAGCTTTTTAATAAGAAGCATTTTAACAAGCAAATCTGAAATATTTTTATATTGCTTTCTGGCAACATTGTTGAGACACATCTGAATTTCTATAAGATTGAAGTTGGCAGCCTTATATTCTCACTTGTCTTTCCATCTAAAATGTTGCAGCAGTTAAATTCTGGCACATGTACAGGCACTTGAATGTAACTGCTGCAGCATTTAAGGTGGTTAACTCTAAGGTTAACCCTAAAAGACTGGCCGTTTCTTTATGTCTAATGTCTTTAAAACAAAGAGGGCTACCTTAAATAAAGTGGGCTGATGATCTATAGACTGCTGTGTTTTCATTTCACTTTAAATGTGACTGAAACAACGCTTACTTAGCCAACCAGGTAAAGAGTCTATCGCGGTTCACACAGTTTGTAAGACGTTATCTGTGCTTATTTGTGTTGTACAGGTAAAATGGTCCTCACAAAACCCATAACTGAGGAAGAATTTTGACTGGTTAAATGGATGAACCGGTGTGTCTCCTACTACTCATAATATTATATGTGTTGACATGAAAATGAGGTTTTCTTACCTGAGCACACGACACCAGCATCTTCACTATGGCCACAGTTGTGTTTACCCCATCCATTATGACTGCATGCTGTGATGGAGCTTTCACTTCCAGAACAGCGAACATCATCCAGAAGTATTGGGCCACTTCCCTGACCAAAGTGGGCACTTTCTGTGGCTCTGACCGCTCTGTCACATCCCATCTCTCTGCAAACCACCTCCACATCTTTCATGTCCCAGTTATCATCACACACTGTTCCCCACTGGCCGTTATAATAGACCTCCACTCTACCAGAGCAGACGCCATCACCATTGACGAGTCTTATATTTAAACCATCTAGTGCAAAAATACCACAGTTTTATTAGCCAGACTCTTTTAGTGACAAATTTCCATAGATTTGTCTTGAAGTCTTGCTTGCTTTCAGTCCTAATTTGACATGCTGTCTGGGCCTTCAGTAGTATGTGATGCTATGGTGGTACATGTGAAGTCACATTAAGTGATCAGTCTCTATTGTATTCACTGCATACATATTTATACTTTTATGACTTATGAAAGGCCACTTACCAGCTAATACCGAAGCCCCGAAAGCACTGGCTACTGAAACAAAGAAAAGATTGCTTTTGTTAAACCAACCATTAAATTCATAGCAGTTCAGTTAGACAATAATCCTAATAGTAGCTGTAGATTTTTTCTGTGGAAGGTTCAACAGTTTTGTTAATCATCTGTTCTAGTGCATAAATCAGCTACCTCAATGTGAGGAGGATCTGAAGTGTTCAAAGAGGTTTCGTGAATGGTTGTTTGATTTTTGATGATTGTTAATTACAAATAAATTAAAAGTATATAGAAATAATAAAAAGCTTGTAGTACGGTGTCATCAAAATTCTGCTTTTGGTGAATGCAAACATGAAGAAATTAGAGTGACTATTGAGAAATGGAAAAAAAGGTCAAATAACTGACACTGCTAAAATCAATAAATTGATCTTGACCAAAAAAACCCTAAAAAAATGGTTATTTGGGGGTTCTTTTGTAAAGACAGTGGTTCTATATAGAACCAAGAACACTTTAAAAAAACATTTGCATGAATAAAGGGTTTTTTGCATGGTGAAATAGTTCTTCAGATTGCATTTTAACATGCATTTTTAAAATATGTCAAAAACTAAAAAATGACAAAAATGGAGATACAAGGTTTTCTTCCGACAGCAGCGATATGGTTCTTTATAGCACCAAAAAGCGTTCTGCTATTGTTTACAGTGTCAAGCTTGTAACAGTAAAAGAACCCTTATAAAAAAGGTTCTACAAAGAACAATATACAGCACATTCTGAAGAACCATTTCACCATGCAAAGAACCAGCATGCAAGTGGTTCTTTGAGTGTTCATGTTTCTGTGCAGAGCCATTTGAAGTGAACCAAATGAAGCCCACTTTGTACCTACAGACAGTAACAAGGATGTTGGGAATGTCCAACTCAGTTGATAGCTGAAGAAATAAAGGGATTGGAGTTGTTCTTTTTCAAAAACCACAGCAAGATGACATCTCCAAGCCAACAAGCTGATTTCACATAGAAAGTGCATACTGCTGCACAACAAGTTAAAAAACATCATCGTGGCTCATTCAGAGGGAAGTTGTGGTGAGACCATGGTATAAGACACACAAAGGACACTGTTCTCTGGACCTCTGAGTATCACAGAGTAATATACAAGCACTTCACATACCGAAGTCAGAATCACTTCAAATCAGATCAAAGAAGAACTGAAAATATCTGATGCAAAAGTGTGGTAACTCAAAGACAAGGGACGATGGTGATTGCCTCCCAGACTCAGGACCGTGTCTAGGCCCTGGCTATTAGGATACAGCCCTGGGTCTTGGCAAATTAGCTTCATAGGATTCAGGATCATTTAAAGCAAGACCTTTGCAAAATTTTACCACGATTTCTCTCACCCAGACTAGACTGTGAAGTGCCCCAAACTTGATTTCAAACTATCTAACCTTCTCCACCTCCTTTGGGGTTTACTTGTGAATGTGACTTACTAAAAATGAAACAGCTAGTATTAACATTGCAAGGTATAACCATGCATATATTTTGAGAGTAAAAATAGCAAAGAAGGCCAAAAAGTCGGCATTAATTTATCTTGTTACCATATACCGATAAAACATTCTCATATTGTCACTCTACATGGTTCCTCCAAAGTCTCCGATCTACCTGTAAACTTCAACTCCCATGATTCATCTGGTTCTGACATCATAGTCACAAGGCCAACACCCACCAATCACAATCAGTCAGTGTGTCCCAATTCAGGGGTTGGATCCTTCAAAGGATGCAGTCTACGAAGGCGTGTCCTCCAAAGGCTGCTTAGACCTGCGGAGGCTGAACCGAAATGAGACAGTCTGCCCTACGGGGAGGGCACCGCTGTTCCCGCCCTTACCGTTGCGTCACGAAACACCACTCTTGTCAAGTTATTTTAAAGTTCTTTAAAGACGGAGCCAGAAAGTTTGATTTCAGTTGTTTATATTTTCTTTTATTAGAGCTGGAACTGCTTCACCATTTATTTCGTTAGCCATTCGCCTCAGTTCAAACCCAATACTTATATTTAAAAGTGTCTCTTCAGCCGCCGTTTGCTTCTCTGTTGATGCCGCCATGTTCTCGAATCCTTGCAGGCACACAATGAACCTCGGGATATTTTGGCTGACGAAGGATGCACCCGTCGGATCCTTCGTTGCCATGGAAAAGGACACATTTCTCAACTACATATGAAGGAGCCTTCGAAATAGGACAGTCTAGTTGCGCCGCTGTTACGCATTCGGCCTTCAAATGCAGCCTCCGAAGGACACAGCCTCTGAACTGGGACACACTGAGTTACACAGGTCCCCCTACCCAGAGTTCTAACTGCTTTTGCCTGTGCTCTGTTTATATACCTGTTCCATATCAAATGCTCTTTGCGAAGTATTGCCAGTTGCCCTGTGTTTTGCATAGTGAGGGTTCTTTCTGTTTTGCCTCTTGTGTTTTTGGCCCTTGTTTACCTCTGTTGGATCTTCCTTTGTACTTTGGTGGTTTTGGTATTTGCTTCTCTGCCTTTCGACCCGAGATCGTTTATGGACTCCGATCTTGGTTTCCTGTTGTACCTGTTTGTTGCTCACTTGGTTCTGACCTGGCCTGGATTACTGACTCATTTTACGTCTGTGAGCATCTGGTTCATCTACTTTACGTGACACCAATCCATAGGCTACACTCTTAAAAAAGATGGTTCTTCAAGGGTTCTTTAGTAAAAACACTGGTTCTACATAGAGCCATGAACACTCAAAGAACCATTTAGATGCTTAAAGGTTTATAGAAATGTTTTTTTCAGATTAATGGATAATGTGTTGTGTATATGGTTCTATATAACACAAAAAAGGGTTCTTCTGTTGTTACAAGCTTGACATTGTGACAATAGCAGAACCATTTTCAAAAGGTTCTATATAGAATCATATACAACACATTCTCCATCAATCTGAATATCCATTTCACCATGCAGAGAACCCTTCAATCATGCAAATGGTTCTTTGAGTGTTCATGATTCTATACAGAACCAATTTCTTTAATAAAGAACCCTTTAAGAACTGTTTTTAAGTGTGTACTAACCAGGTTAGCAGCTACCACACCACTACTGTCATTTTGTGAAAGTTTTTTTAGTGTTGTGTTTAATGCCTTGCTGTAATTGCCATTGCTTGGGTGCATTTCATGAATTTTATAATACAGAGTGATTCAAAAAGATCCATCCGATTTCAAAATGATTTATTTCACTTGTAAATCATTACAGAACAATGCAGTAAACTGTAAATGGTTTAAATGAGCATAAACGTTATTATGTAATTTTACAAGGTCTCAGTATGAACCTCCTCCAGCTGTACGGACAACATCAACACCATAGTCAAACTCATCCCATACTGGATTGAGCGTGTCGGGTGTCGCTGCACTCACGGCTCTTTCAGTGCGATTTTGGGGATCATCCAGTGTTGTGGAACCAACGACGAACGCTCTGAGCTGTTGGAGGTTCAATACTGACGAAAATCACGCTGCACAGTTATGACGGATTCACTCTTATTGAAGTGGAGAACGCAGAACGCTTTCTGCTCAGGGGTCACATCCCCTCGCAGACTGAAGGGGGCCATCTTCCACTGACAGTCAGAAACTCTATGACCCCCTCTTTCAATTGGTATGTGATTGGTTCCTAGGCACCTCACGGCTGTAAAAATATGGCGCTTTGAAATCGGATGAATCTTTTTCAATCACCCTGTATTATCTATAAGCTCTTTGAGGTTGCTGGCCAGTACTAAATTCACAGTAGTTTTTTTCTGAATGCTTCAAAAAATGGTCAGTTGTGCACGTCTGTTGATGTCATGAATTTTCAGCTGGCTATATCAGTAGTAAGGATATATAATGTATCATATTAAACTGACTTTGCTTATGTAGTGTAGCAGTAGTTTTTAGTAGAACGATACAAATACAGCAAAACCTCTCACAGTAAGATTATTTAAAAAAAGGTGGTTCTTCGAAGGTTCTTTAATAAAGAAAATGGTTCTATATAGAACTATGAACACTCAAAGAACCATTTGCATGATTAAAGGGTTCTTTGTGTGGTGAAATGGTTCTTTGGTTAATAGAGAATGTGCTTTACATGGTTCTATATAGAACCTTTTTGAAAAGGCACCAAAAAAAGTACCAAAAAGGGTTCTTCTATTGTTACAAGCTTGACATCATAACAACAGAAGAACCATATACAATAGATTCTCCATCAAGCTGAAAAACCATGTCAAGACACAAAAAACCCTTTAATCAAGCAAAGGGTTCTTTGGGTGTTCATAGTTCTATATAGAACCATTTTCTTTACTAAAGAACACTTTTTTAAGGGTATGCCAAGACTGTCTGGTCTATTTTTCGTTTTCTCCATTGTTAATTTCACATTTACTAAGGGTGGGTTGAAATGTTGTTAGACCAAAACCAAACAATCCAAACATTCCCTTACATTAATTCATTAGTAGAGCAAATATATATTTTCAATTTCTGTTTTAGAAAAAGATTCAAGTAGGCATGACTGCTTCTCTCTCTCCAAAAAAATGTATGCTTCGCTGTAAGATCAGACATAATGCTTCAATATGACTGTATTGCATATACAGCTTCATATATGACATACTTCAATACTGTCAGTATCGCTAAAAAATAATTGACAAATGTTTAAGTTGAATTTACCAAGCATTAAAGTGAGCATCCTGGTCTTTGCATCCATGTTCAGTTGGATGTTAATCCAGTGTGCGCTGCTGGCTTCAGATGGTTTTGCTCTTGAAGTGCTGATGGCACTGAGTTTTATAGAGGTTGCTGAGGTGAAGTTTCGGTTCCTTTTTACCCTTTTCCTGTTTTGTAAATGCTATACTCTTTAACAGTTGAAGGCACACAGCACAGTTGATTTGTAATTTCTGTCAAAAGTAAACTATTTCAAACATTTCAGTCATCTCAGATTTTTCCCCATCTTATAATGAGTGTTTCGTATTTTCCCTTTTATCTGTCGACGTTTTCATTCCGCTCTATGGGCATGTCGTGTATTTTCATCAGAGAATCATAACAGTTCAGTTCTTAGCTTGAAGCACAGGTTTCCAACCCTTCTGTTTTCAATTTTATGTGTATTTACTACCTTATTTTAAAACATTTTCTTAAATTTGATTGTCACAGCTATTCCTCAAGTTTACCCCCTTGATGTACATCTGTTTTATTTTATTTGTCCTTACCCTTGTTTTTTAAACCTACCTATTCTCTCTAAGCTCATACTGCCTCTCTCTAATTTCAAACATCTCCTGAGTATCTGAATACAGTTAGAAAATAAATTATTTTGTGCTTTGTAACTTATCTGTGCAGTATTAAAGTCAACTAGATCACAAAATGTAGATTACAACCCCCACACACACACACACACACACCCACAAACCTTAAACCTGCGGTCGGCAACCCAACTGTTAAGAAGAACCATTTTGTCCTTTTAACAAAAATCAATGTAAGTAAGTAAGTATGTGCTAATGTGCTAATATAAGATAAAAATTATAATCTAAACGAAAACACAGACTTTTGCTCTGCTTCAAGCTTTAGCTCAGCTATAGCTGCTTTTCTCGCATCTCTGGCAGGAATCTTTTCTTAAAAGTGGAACAGTTTCTTGAAAAATGTCTCTCAACATTTGATTGTAATGAGGCTGAAGTTGCTTCTCATTCACCAGCTTCTTGTTCAAATTTTCCCATTCCACCTTAAATGAGAGTTTGAGAGTTTCTCGTTGCAGATTAAACATATCAGGAAACCAGCTAAGTGCTTATTAATGTAAACAAGTCCATTAGTCTCTGAATTATTAATGTTCATCTTAAATCTCTCTTTTTGCTGTTTTGATAGATACTAGCTAGGCAAGATTGTTCAGATCAGCATTTTACTGTAAAGGAGGATTATTTTATTTTTACCTACAAATCAAATTCTGCTGTGGAGCTGCAAAAGGACAGTAATAGAGCTGCATGCAGCTCCGGAGCCACATGTTGCCGAACGCTGCCTTAAACTGAAGAAGGACTTACCCAGAGAGGCTGAGTCTTTCAGAAGTAAAGATGAGGAGGGGTTCACCACTCTGTGAAAGACTGCATAATCAAATAGTGCAACAATTCAAGAATAACGTTTCTCAACATTAAATAGCAAAGAACTTTTGCTTTTCATCATCTACAGTACATATTAACATTAAAAGATTCAGAGAATCTGGAGAAATCTCTGTATGTAAGGGACAAGGCTTAAAACCAGTATATGCTGGCTGTGATCTTTGGGTCCCCAGAAAGCACTGCATTAAAAACAGACATGATTCTGTAGAGAAAATCACTGCATGGGCTCAGAAACACTTCTGAAAACCACTGTTTGTGAACACAGTTCATCACTGCATCCACAAATGCAAGTTAAAATTCTAAAATGCAAAGAAGAAACCATAAACAAACAGGATCCAGAAACGCTGCCACCTTCTTTGGGCCTGAGCCCATTTAAAATGGACTGAGGGAAAGTGGAAAAGTGTCCTGTGGTCCGACGAATCAACATTTGAACTTCTTTTTGGAAATCATGGATACTGTGTCCTCTGGGCTAAAGACCACTCAGCTTGTTATCAGTTCACAGTTCAAAAGCCAGTATTTATGATGGTATAGGGGTGCATTAGTGCACATGGCATGAGTGATGTGCACATCTGTGAAGGCACCATTAATGCTGAATGATATATACATGTTTTGGCAACATATGCTGCCATCCAGACAACGTCTTTTTCAGGGAAGGCCTTGATTATTTCAGCAAGACGATGTCAAACCACATTCCGCATGTATCACAGCAGCATTGCCCCGTATTAAAAGAGTCCGGGTGCTAAACTGGCCTGCCTGCAGTCCAGACCTGTCACCACTGAAAACATTTGCTGCATTATGAAATGAAAAATATGACAAAAGAGACCCTGAACTGATGAGCAGCTGAAATCCTGTATGAAACAAGAATGTGAAAATAGTTCACTTTCAAAACTACAGCAGTGTCTCCTCAGTTTCCAAACGCTTACAGAGTGTTGTTAAAAGAAGAGGTGATGGAACACAGTGGTAAACATGGCTAGAGGTGGGTAATCCAGGTCCAAACTCCTCCCCAGGATTTTGTTACAACTGCTTGACTTCTCTAATTTGCTCAAACCAACAGCAAAGGTGTTCAGGCAGTTGGAACAAAATCCTGGGGAAAGTTTTTACTTTTTGGACCTGGATTACCCACCTCTAAACATGGCCCCGTCCCAACTTTTTTGGAATGTGTTGTCGGCATCAAATTCAAAATGGGCATATAGTTTTCAAAAAATAATGAATTTCTCAGTTTCAACATTATTGTTATCTTATCAAATATGGTTTACATGATTTGCACATCACTGCATTCTATTCTATATATATATATATATATATATATATATATATAAAAATATATATATATATATTTATAATGGCTGCAGACAAAAAAACAAGCAGCAGGAGTTTGGATTAAAGTGTTGATTTTGTAGAACTTGTGAGTTTAACCTTAGAAAGTAATCTGAGCTACCATCATTTTGTCCAACCCTGGTCAGGTTCGTTCCTGTAGTTTCCACCATGCTGCAAGGAAAGAGACCAAACCCTTAAACGCATAGTACACAAACTGCAATACCTGACTGAACATGACTGAAATGTTAAAAGGCTCTTTTCTGTTACTTCCCCTTTACCTTCTATTCTAGAGATGCAAACCAAGCATGCATAAAGAAAGAACAATGAAAAATTAAAGTGAAAAATGTTTTTTTCCTCTCAGCAGAAAGAACCTGACAGATCTGAGCAAGTGGAACAAAAACCCTCCAAAAATCTTTGGAGCATAACAAATGCTATATATGGACCATTCAGCTGAATTAGTTGAGACCCCAGTTCCACAGTAAAAAAAAAAAAAAAGTCTTCAGGCCTTAGAGATTTTCACGAATTTTGTTATGAGTCTATTTAAACTTAAGGCATTAATATAGACAGTAATAAACTAAATATACACAAAATCATCATTTATAAGGTATTTTTTGTTGGGGGATGTCTGTCCCAAACCCAAACCTGAAGTTACACTTAAATATGAAAATAATGCTTACATTTTTTTCAGTGTTTTTCTTTTTACTATCTTTTTAAATATATTTTAGATTGATCGTGAGTTTCATTTAAAAAACTTTATTAAAAAAATGCTGTCCCATGCTTTCATATCACTACCCAAACACAGAGTTTTAGTCTGTAGGCAGAGCCTTATTTTAGCAACGCCCCTGCGATTTTGAGTGGGAAGTTAGGCTGCATTTCTGTCCCTTATGGCCACATAGTGAGCAGTTAGACCCCATTGTTTTGAAGTAAATGTGTCCCAAAGTCTGAGATTCAGTTTGGAACATTAAGAATAGTCTCTACCAAAACACATACTTTCTGCAATTAAGTACTTTTTGTGTTTTAATGAAAAATCTGATGATTTTATGCGTGTACAGCCAATATATATATATATTTATATCGCTGTTGTCGGAACAAAACCTCGTATCTCCAAAACTTTACAGGAGTAGGAAAAAACCTACCTTACTTTTAATATAAGTCAGTGGAAGCAGACTTTTTCCAGGTAATTTTGGGTCGTTTCTTTTAGTCCATTCATCATGAAATTTACACACAATGTAAAGAGCAACAGGTATTTTCAAATTGTGTCAAAACCTGAAAAACGTCAAAAATGGAGATACAAGGTTTTTCAGACAACATTGATATATAATGTCATTTAAAGTACCACAGCAGCTACCTCGTCAGTCCTTGGTGTTTCTTTACGCCCGGTGCAGGGCGAGCTCTGTGACTCACAGTGAGGAAGCTTGCTTCGCTGGTCTCAATTTAAGAAGCCACAGCCGTGTGTTTTCCTCCTTTCATTCGGCTGGTTAATTTATCTTCTCCAGTACTTGAATGTCAACACTTCCTTTACAGTTTCCAACGTGTATGTCCTAAATGTCACCCTTAGCTAAGGGAAATTCATACTTCAGCATTACAGCTTTATCAGCTAGTCCACACACACCTACACTCAACAAAATGAAATGTTGGAATGTGAAATGTTATTTTTTTAACTGTGTTAAGCAGATTTTAAGACACTCAATTGAGTAATATGTACTTAATGAGTTCGGGCAAATGACACTAAAGTGAGTTGAGTAAATTTGTTTTAGCTGTTTTGATTATTTGTATGTTTTACCTAAAAATGAAATGTTGAATTTACTTAAAAATGTTAAGTTGTTTAACATAACTGTGTTAAGTAGCTTTCAGGATGCTCAGCTGAGTAATATGTGCTGAGTGAATTGAAGTAAATCACACACAAGTGAACTGTAAATAACTAGACAGATCATTTTTATGTAAAATGAAGTTAATTGGTTAAACCTTTTCTAGATCACTACTGGTACCAGCACACCTCTGTCTAAGAGTTCACATCTGCTTTTTTATACATAATTTTTATGCATCAAATCATCCAGCAATACAGTGATGCAGTATACTGTTAGAAAGCTTGAAATCTCAGGATTCGATTCTTGCAAACCATTTTATGGTTTAAATAGAGAATAGAGGACGACCGTTTACAAAGCCAAATATAAAGTGTCACACGAGTTAAAGAAAAATTTGCGTTGTCCTTGCCGGTAGTGATCTGTGAGCTGTCTACTTCCATGCATTAAGTCATCAGAGGTCATCATTTTTCACACCCGCTATGGTGGTATGCTTTAGTGTAGGGATGCTTAATGGTGTGGTTTT